ATATTCTATGTGCCATAGCCCAATACTCAATCTATGCAGAAGACCTAGAAACAACCGCCTACTTCTTACTTTTCCAGGATATAAGATAATCACCATAGAAAGTACAAAAGTCAAAAGTGGAACGCTGATCAGTCCTAGATCATGCATAATCAGTATCGGTGAAACAGGAGAGCCTAGATTGAAGACCAGCTGTGAAGAACAATCCCAAGCCAGGAGAAGTCTTCAAATACCTCAAAATGTGATGAACTGCGTCAAGGTGCTCCGTACGAGATGCATGCATGAACTGACTCACAACACTAATCACAAATGCCAAGTCAAGTCTAGTATTGGTCGAATAAATGAGGCGTCCAACAAGATGCTGATACATGCCTAGGTCATCCAATACCTCACCAGACTCTGATGTAAGCTTGACATTAGGATCCATAAGAGCAGAAGCAGGTTTACACCCTAACATACCAGTATCCTTAAGCAAGTCGAGAGTGTACTTCCTTTAAGACAAGGAGATCCCCTCCCTTGAGCGAGCCACCTCAATTTCCAGAAAATATTTGAGACATTCCAGATCCTTAATATCAAAAGTTTGGCCTAAGTCCTTTTTTACTTGACCAATGTCGACAGAGTTATCACCTGTGAGAATAATATCATCCACATAAACTAACAAGACTATAAGCTGACCCCAAAATTATGGCGAATGAAACAAATGTGATCTGAGCGGCACTGAACAAAGCCCATAGATATGATAACAAAACTAAAGTGACCAAACCATACTCGCGGAGACTATTTTAGACCATACAAAGATTTGTGTAACCGACACACTTTTCCCAAATACTCCCCCTCACCCCGAAAATCATGTGGAGGAGCGATGTAAATTGTCTCAAGGAGATCTCCACGAAGAAACACATTCTTGACATCAAGCTGATGAAGAGGCCAAGAATGTGATGTTGCAAGGGAGATACGAAGACGCACTGAACAGAAGTAAGCTTGGCGACAAGGGTAAAAGTGGCACCAAAATTCTCACCAGGAATCTGTGTGAAACCTTTGGCCACCAGGCGAGCTTTGTAATGGTCAATTGAGCCATCAACTAGGTACTTTATAGTGAACACCCATTAACAACCAACAATGCTTGCCCCAGGAGGTAAAGGTACAAGATCCTAAGTGTGATTCCATTCTAAGGCCGTCATTTCAGTCTGCATAGCCTCTACCCATTTGGGATTCTGAAGGGCCTTAGACACAGAATGAGGAATGGACTCTGACTCAAGCTTGCTAAGGAAAGAACGATAAGAATCGGAAACCTTGTCAAAGGAAAGTTACTAAACAATGGGATGATTAGTACTACTCAAACAACCCCAACAATTTGGAGGATGTTAATCCCGAGGTGGGTTACGACGAGGAGGTGGAAGAGAGGGAGCTAAAGGAGAAGAGTTACCTGACCTAGAGATCGGAGAGGCGGCAGAGGGCAAGCTAAGTGCATAGGAGACGAAAGTATAACTACAATGGAGAGGGGAAGGAGGCGAAGATTGAGAAGGAGGAAAGGGAACAACCTCATCCTCAAACTTGTCCAAAATGGGCACTAGGCGAACACTAGAAGTAACGAGAGTAAAAGCCTGCAAAGGAGGGTTAGTATTAAAGAAAGAAAGATTCTCACAAAAAATAACATTCAAAGTGTGATGAAAGTGATGAGACACAGGATTACAACACCTATACCCTTTGGATATGGAAGAGTACCCTAAGAAGACACAAAGAATAGATGTGTCATCTAACTTAGTGCGAGTAGGACTCTAATTTTGAACAAAACAGGTACACCCAAAGACACAAGGTAAAAGAGAAAACAAAATGGTAGTGGGCATAAGGATATAAAACGGAGTGAGACCATTCAACACACGACTAGGAGTCCTATTGATGAGGTAAACAGCAGTAAGGAAGGCCATATGCCAATAAGACTTGGGAACACCCATACCCCGAAGAAGACACCGAACAACAGACATAATATGACGATTTTTACGTTCAGCAACACCATTTTGTTCAGGGGTTCAAGGGCAAGTAAGTTGTTGAAGAACATTGATTTGATTAAGATGGGAATGAAATTCATTAGAAATATATTCCCCACCATTATCAGAATGAATATTCCTAACAACTGTATGAAACTGAGTTTTAACCATTTGTAAAAACTGAATGAAAATGAGAAACATGTCAGACTTACGACGAAGTAGATAAACCCAAGTGCACCTAGTGTAATCATCAATAAAAGTCACGCAATACCTATGACTAGAAAAAGTAGTGACAAAGGAAGGACCCCAGACATCAGAATATATAAGATCAAAAGCACGAGGAGCACAAGTCATATGAGAGATATAGCTAGTATGAGTATGCTTAGACAACTCACAAACCACACAATGAAATTTAAAATCTTTGCAAGCTCTATAAAATGAAGGAAAAAGTTTGACATAAATATTGAAAATTGATATGACCCATACGAGCATACCATAATTCTAAAGCCTGAATACAAAAAACATGGAAGCAGGCAAAACAGAGACTTGAAAACTAGCTAAAGAATAAGAGGAATGCTCAGCCGGTGGATCCCCAAAGTAGTAAAGTCCATCACGCTCATAGCCCTTGCCAAAAATCCTCTTCGAACTTAGGTCCTGTAAAAGGCAAGAAGAGGGTAAGAAGATGACAGCACAATTAAATTGTTTTGGAAAGATGACTAACGGATAAGAGATTATATACAAAATTTGAAACATGAAAAACAAGCGATAAGGTAATGGTAGGGGATAAAGACACTATAGCCTTATGACGAACAAAACATGAAGAATCATCAGCAAGACACACAAATTGGGCAATAGTAGTAGGAATTGGAGAAAAAAGAAAGGAAAACTCACCCATCATATGATCATTAGTCTCAGAATTCAAAACCCATAAGGGAGTAGCAGACCGAACATGGAAAGCAGTAGAGGTACCTATAGTAAGGATGGCAGCAGTGGAAGATGATGGGCTATGAGAACTAGCAATGAGAGATCCAAGCTGAGCCTGAAATTGACCAATCTAAGTCAGCAACTCCTATAAATTAGGGATATTAGGAGAGCCCGAAGCAATAGTAGCTTCCACTAAAGCAGCAGTACGAGGGGTGCTAGTACCACGAGTGTGAGAAAAGCGTGGCTTCAACTCAGGATGAAGTTTGAAGCAACGAGCCTTAACATGTCTAGAAGCATCACAATGATGACAAGTAACTGGACCACTAGAACCCCGAGAACCAAAATTTGCAACAAGAGCCATCTGATCAAATGAAATTGGAGACACTAGAGGGCTCGGCCGAACCAAACGCCGATGACACTCATCACTATCAATGGTGGCAAAGGCCTCATAGAGAGATGAAATAGGTGATGTGTTTAAAATCTAAATTCGAAGAGACTCAAATTCAGGGTATAAACCCATCAGAAACTAGTAAGTGTGCTGTCAGGTAAGTCGCTTGAACACAAGAGAGGCAACTTCAGTAGGTAACTCAGTCAAGGGCTTATATTAAGCCAACTCTTCCCAACGGGCTTGAAGATATCCAAAGAACTCCGCTACAGAAAGTCTCAAAGTAGATTGAGAAGCACAAGCAATATCCTAATAAAGCTCAAAGATAAAAGCATCATTATGAGCATGAGCATGCATCTGTGTTAAAGCATTCCATAGTCTCGGAACAGTGTCACAGTAAAGGAACATGTGGTAAATCCGGTCCTCCATGGAGTTGAACATCTAGCCAAGGATAGTACAGTTATCAATATCCCGCTGGCTACGAGTAGGATCAGTGGCTACCGGCTGTGTAATAGTAGGGAAAAGCCAATGAGCCTTTCCCTTGCCCCCTAAATAGAGTTTAAGAGAACGACTCCAAACAGCAAAATTTTTCCCATTTAACACCATTCGTAATACGATGAACAAGAGTGTGATGAGAAAGAGAAAAATCAGAACTAACCGGAATGGGTTTCATGGAAACCTCAGTAGACACAGCGGGAGGAGACTCAATCATCGTGAAAGAAAGAGGGCTGATAAATCACATAGCAACAGCAGCAAAAATATGTCCAAAAAAGCCAAAAAAACGGCTTACCTAAAGAACTGCTACCGAACAAAACCCGGTAGCCCAAAGAACAATGAAAGATGAAGAGAGGTGCTTAATACATTAGCACAACACCCCGAAAGGGGGGAAAATAGAACCTGGACCACCCTAAGGAGGGTGCCGGATCACTCTATTTAGACCAAGGTAAGACCTAGTTGGCAGCACTGAAGGCCCTCGGCAGACGTGCTAGAGCACTGCCAAGGGTAGTAGGATGGTGGGTAGGGGTTTTCGGCTAGGGTAAAGGGGTTGGGTAGGTGTTTCAGCTAGGTTAGAAGGTATGGGTAGGTGTTTTTGCTAGGATGAGGTGGTGGGCTAGGGTTTTCGAGTAGTGGAAAAGAAGTGGGTAGGCTATCGGTGAAGGGAGAGAGAAGAGAGAAGGCTTTGATACCAAAAAGAATGAAAATGATGAATTGACTTACTTATGAATGTGGTAGAGCCATGTATATATAATATATTCATAATACAATTTAGGAAACAATATAAACAAGGCTCTAAATCAGTGATTTCTACAATCACGGTTTTTATACAATCTACTAAACATAAAAATATTCTAATTCCTATATTCAACATGAAATATTCTAATTCCTATATTCAACAAGACTTCGCTTCACAAAGGGTTGGTCCCCTCTTTTGTAATTTCACTTTGTGCTACCGAGGTTTCATTAAAAATAAACAAATGAAATTTAAACAAAAAAAAAAAAAAGATCCCAACACTATTTAGAGGGAATAATAATGCCTACAACCTTCAACACAAATCTACAAAATAAACAAGAAAAGGATTATGAACAATTATCTAGAGTATGAAAACTTCAATGAAAACATAATTGAACCTAACAGTTGGGAGGAGAGAGAGAGAGAGCGCGCAAAGCTCTAGAAGAAAATGGAAAGCTAATTAACAAAAAATCACCTTGAGCAAGTTTTAATATTGCGGCAGTTATAAAGATGCTCATTACTTTCATGAACACATCACCCTGAAATATAGAACGTAGTGTCCCCGACCCGTTCCAAGAAATGATGATCATTGCCTTCAATCGATTTGTCATGTTAACATGATCAAATAAAGTTAAGAAGACATATGAAACCAACAATAGATAGATATATAGATAAAGAACATAAAAAAATAAAATAAAAAGATTACCTGTAAAGACAAGATAAAAAAGGTCCACATTCTATCAAAACTCCTAAAAATATGCCAAAATGTGCATATCTCAACAAAATTAATTTTGCCTGTCCATCGATCCCTAGTGGCCGGTTTGGTCTCCTGAATATCATCAAAATCTACTATAAGAAAGGCAGTATTTCATATCAAAAATCAGGTTAGGGGAGAGAGAGAGAGAGAGAGAGAGTCTCAATCAGCAAAGTTGAGTTACCAACCAACCCTGCTTGAGCACATCCAACAATAAGAAGTGTTGAAGTATATTCAAGAAAAGCTTCAAATCAATTCATAGAAACTGTATCAGAATAATGCACATCCAGCTTCCTCCAGAAAAATGCAAAGCTTGTTTCAGATTGAAGACAGCTATGGTTGTTGACTTTATTTGAATAAGAGACTAATATTCGAAGAATAACTTTACGGAACAACATGGACTACAGTTCAAATAGTGCCAAAAAACAGTATTGTCAATAAGGCATTTATATGCTATTCCCAGGAACTATGAGCTAATGCAATTTCTTAACAATCTGTTGGCTAAAAAGCATGGACACTTATAAGAAGGCAACGTGTTGTGTCCGACACGACACGACTATCTTTGGACACTTCCCAACACTTAGACACACATGAAACTCATTATAAGTTTGAATAAATTAACTTAGAATTCAATAAATATATAAAATTATATATTTTGCTTGTGTCCCCCACGTGTCGTGTCCTACAATTTTTTGAAAATTTACGTGCGTGTCCAAGTCATGTCATGTGTCTGTGTCCGTGCTTGTGCTTCGTAGTCTGTTGGCTTAGATGAGGTCTAATTGTATTCTATTTTATGATCGAACCCATGGTTATAACTTGCAAGAAACTATATTTCTTATAGCAAATTCCTTCTCACATTCTCAGTCAACAATATTGGAACTTTTCTGCAAGTTTCTGTGAGATATATGCTTAGAGAACTTATGTTTCCATGTCAAAAGAGTGCAGTCTCGAGGTTTATTTTGTGATTCCTTCTTACAGCAATTTGTGTTCCAATTAAAGTTAAGTGATGCTTCAAGAGAAACAGTCCTTGTCTGCTTTTGGAACTGCTTAACAAGGTGAGACACAACTGCGCAGAATGGAAAAGGAACTGATTCAAACCCAATACAAATATAAGTATAATCCAGTTAAAAACTCTAAACTGGATTTCACCAAAGAGCAGGTAGCTTTCAGAATTGCAGTTGTGGCTCTACAAATTAACCAAAAACTGATCCTCTTATATATTCAAGTAATCCAAACTCTCCAATCACTAGACATTTTACAGTTGGATTCAATTGCTGCATTATATTCAGTTGGATCACGAAAATTACAACTGTTTTTTAGAAAGAAATTTTCAAATCAAGGGTTGGGCACCCTCCTAGTGCCAGATCAACTGTAAAGGCAAAGAGGCCACTACTTTAGGCCTCAACAGTAGAAAAGCCTCCAATTTTTAGTATTACATGTTTTGCATATTCACCATAAGTAAAAACTCAAAGGCTACAGGTTCAAAAAAAATTAAAATAAAAAATCGAAGGGCAATGTTAAAGTGATCATAATTAGATATAAATTTTAAAATTTAGGTAAGATCTAATGTATATGGCGTTAATCACATTATTAAGTTTATCTCTTATTTAGAAAACACAAACACCAATATTTTATAGGCTCATCAAATGATGTGATTAGTATTATATTAGGTGTTAAATGTACACAAATGTGATATGTAAATGTAATTACCATCATTATAAAATAAAAAAGAGGCTCAAGTGAAAATAACATTTCATTGAGCGAACTAACACCAAAAAAGGACCATCTTTTATGGGCATTGTGCATTTCATCTGGTTTCTTCCTTGCGAAACGACATTGTTTATGTCTTCGAATGGTTGAGTTTTGATATTTGCCAAGTTTTGTGTTGAGCTTAGCAATTACACATTTTAAGTCAAAAGTTTGTTGAAAATAAAAATAATTTTTTTTGCATGAAATTTAATAAAAATAATAAATATTTATAAGTAAAGAAGGCCCCCATTAATATTTTGCTTTAGGCCCCGTTAAGTGTTGGGCCGCCCTGCACCCTTCCCATCCTTTTTGGAACAGGTTTATGTGGGGCCTAACTGCTTAAGTGGGGTAAGGAGTGCATGGGACGAAGGCAGCATGCCTGACTTGGGTTCAGGCCAGGATCAGCATGGTGGCCCCAAACTGGGGTGGCTCTATTTGCACCCCAAAAATTAGGTTGGGCACCCCAATTTAATGAAACTTTTTTATTACCATTAAGTCTTTATTTAAAATCACCAAAAAGTACTTGACACTGGAAAAAGTGTAAATCAAAGTGTTCTGAACACTCCATTCATCATCAGTTCCAATATTTTTTTTCTCTTCTCTTCTTACTCTTTTCACTTTGCATTTTCATACCTAACCATATTTGCTTGAATCCGTCATTCTTGCATTCTATTTCATATTGGAATCAACAATGGACAATAAAGAAGATGTTTCTAAGCAATTTTCTATAGATAGAGAAGATGTTTCAAGCAGTTTTCTATAAAACATGTTTCATTTGTTCTTTTTCATTTTTCTATTGTTCGGAACTGAGTATCCGAACATATTTAATGTAAGAAATAATGTATAGAGAAAGAGAGAGAATAAATTGTGGAGTAGGTTTAAGTGGGTGAAGTAGGTGGAGAGTAGGTGGATTTTAACATTTAATTTGTTCAGCACTAAGTATCCGAAGAAACTTCATAGGTTCAAAATTAAGTATCCAAACATATACAATTTGTCACTGAGTATCCATATGAAAATGTTGCAACAATTTTTTATTGTTCGGAACTGAGTATCCAAATAAACTTCATAGGTTCGAAGTTAAATATCCAAACATATATAATTTGTTCGGCACTAAGTATACAAGTGAAAATGCTACAACCAATTTTTTATTGTTTGGAATTGAGTATCCGAACATATTTAATTTATATGGCACTGAGTATCTGAAGAAACGTCATAGGTTCAAAATTAAGTTTCCAAACATACATAATTTGTTCGGCACAGAGTGTCCAAATGAAAAAGCTATTACTTCGGGTGTAGAAAGTAGAATTTCTAGGGTTTTTTTTTTTTAGGGTTATAATAGGTATTATTTGGGGTGTCCAAACAAACAAATAAATATTTAAATTTTTAATTGGGGTGCCCAACTTAATTTTTGGGATGCATTTAGAGCTACCCCCCAAGCTGCCCCTTCCTTATTATATAACCTTTTATTTAAATGCCCCTAATGTTTTATAAGATACCATTTCATAGTCGCTCTTATAAAACATCATATACCATTTCTGCTTAATGTAACCGACCCTACTTGAGTGGGACACAAGGCATAGTTTGGTTTATAAACTTGGTGATTCTAACACATCCAAGGCAGGACGTGCTTGCACTTCAAACCATGTTCAAGAGGCACATCTCACATCAAAGCAAGCATTGCACAAGCTAATGTACATTTTAAACATCAAAACATTAACTATTGAAGTGCTTTCTTTGAGTATCCCATCAAGCAAGCATTGAGGCCAAAGGCTTAAATTCCTTCCATTACATTAAATTGATAGGAAAATGCATGAAACAGATTTTAAATCCCCGGCGCATAATGTTTTCATGTAAAAGAAGTAAACAGTCAAATGTTCTTAAAGAAGGAAAAGTTAACTGTACGATAGTTACATATTTAGGTACCAAATATTATATACCTCATTCTTGTTAGCATGAAGCTGTACAATAGGCAGGCAAAAGAAATCTGCATCAGCGCGCATTGGCCAACCTAGCCGAAAACAATCAACTGACCTACAATAATCCCAATATTGATTCATATTTGACAAACTGAATACATATGAAAAAGGAAAAAGAAAATGTAGACAAAGAAAATCACAATACCAAAAGTATTCATTTAAATCATCATAGTTCCTCCATTGAGAATGTTTTAATCTCCCCCCTCTGCACCTTTTAGCTTCCTGCAAGGCACAAGGAAGGAAATTTTTTAAGACATGAACCAAAAGAAAAGTCAAAAGACCACAGCAATAACTTTTACAGACTGAAGACAACAAGAAGAGGAAACACCTCTGCTATCATGTTATAGATTGGAGTCACCACTTTCTTTAAGAAAGCCTCCTCTTCACCACCATATGTAGGCTTAATATGTTCACCTGTCACGGGACTTACATTCCCAGCCAGCATGCCATACAGTTCAAATGCCATCTGAAAATAAAATAAAAAAAAGAACAGATTAATATAGAAAACAAATTAATATATCTAACAGTCAGTTTAAATTTAAATATATATATATATATAAATATGTATACAAAAACTTGAAACCATAGAATATTTCCAGCATATAATTGGCTGTGGTGATTGTAAAAGGATGAACCCAGCTTAAGTTCAAAGGCGTATACTTGTAAGCTTGATGTATGGTACTATACGTCCTCATACTTTCCAAAACTCACAACTAATTCCCAAAAAAAAATAATAATAATTCAAAAAAGCAAAATAAAAATATTGAAGTGCAACCATTCAATGTAAAGTCAAGAAATTGTTGCTCCTTTTCACCACTTACCAATTATTTTATGAAAATTTGTAATCTGTACCATTGCTCAACTTTTACAAAACATTACACATAAGTTCTATACAGTTGACACTAACAGACTAAATGTATTCCAAAATTGCTCTTTTCTGTCCCAATACACATTGATTCTGTTTATCTAGGTTTCAAATAAGGCATAAAAACAAGATTTGCAACTTTTTAAGAACCTTACCGACTAGGAAGCATAGAAGCATAGATACGGATACGAGATATGGATACGACACGATACGGATACGGCGATACGACAAAACTTAAAAAAATAGCATACGGGTACGGCTAGGATACGTTTGTGAAAAACATATTTTTTAAAATTATTAATAGTAAGTTACACATAAGCTAAAGAACGTTGAGAAACCACAATATAATTTTATAATGCAAAATACTATCTTTTAAGAATTTTGTATTAATTTAAACTAGTAGCTTGTTTACTTTTAAATTTTTAATAGGTCTTGCAAATATTTCATTTCAATATCAAGTTTAATATATTTATATTACAATAATAGAACAATTCGCAATTTGTACCTATGGTTTTTTCCTTTAACACTAGTGAAAAATATTATATTCAAGTTTCCTTGTTTATTTATTTATTGATATTTAATTTTACCATTTTTATATTCTCTTGTTAATTCTTGCTTTCTATGTAGTTATAGGGGACATGCATGAAATAATTAAGATACATCAATTTGATAAATTATATTATTTAACTCACTATGCTCTTCTTATCGAAGAACTTAACAAAATATTAGAAAAATATTCTTATATTTATACTTGCAATTATATTATATTATATTACTATGCAAGAAATATTACAATTCTAATTTCATAAAACAAGTAAACATGACTTAGAGTATCTGATACTTCAAAATTAAGTATCCGATATTTCAAAATTAATGAAAAAATAATTAAGAAGTATCCGATACTTTTAATAAGTATCTGATACGTATCCGCGAGTATCCAAGGAGTATCGGTATCCGATACGGATACGATACGGATACGTCACCCTATTTGAAGTATCCGTGCTTCATAGCTTACCGATTTGCAAAGGACCCAAATTTGATAGAACATGTCAAATCAAGGCCAATCCCAATACTTCATAGCAACTACTAAAAAATAACGGCTTAATAGAGAAAGGAATGCCTTTAGAATCTAAAAGAAAATAGTCACACAACCTCCCCCCCTAACTTGCTTCTTGACTAAAAAATAAACCAACTTGGGCTAGCTCAATTGGCCAGAACTCCTGCACCTCAGTAGAAGGTCAAGAATTCATGTATTGTCACATGGCCTACCAAAGAAAATTGAAATAAATATTAATAGTGATGGGCGGTGGCCCCTGCAAACTGTGAGAATGTTATGTTACTTATGGAAATATATCAACTAGGTTGATTGTATATTTTAGATTGATTGTATGAATATTAGATTAATTGTATCGGGTTATTATTTCCTATTTCAGATTAGGGTTAGGATTGCTATAAATATTGATTGTAATCTTTCTATTAGAACAAGTTGAATATACAAAAATATTCAGAAATTTACATTGTATCAGAGTTAGGGTTTCATTCAAACTTGTTGGTCGAAGCCCTCCTTGTGTCGCGAAGGTCTTCTCTGTGTTTCTTCGAAGTCGAGACATACTTCTGATCATTGGTCTAAAGTCGCGACATCTTTGGTCAAGTCGCGACCCTCTGGTTCTATCTTGTGCAAGCATGTTCTCTCCTCTGTGGTTCGCGACCTCCCTCGCTCATCTCGGCTTCTCGAGTTCTCTCTCGGGTTCACACCTGGTTCGCGATCTCTCTCTCTCATCTCGACTTCAGGTTCTCTCTGGATTTCTCTTATTGATATTTGTGTTTGGGTCACCCGCTGTTTCTAGAAACTCTGCTTCTAGTATTTGGACCAAACTAGGTTTGGGTATTATAAGTTTAACCAAACTAGTTTTACTATACTTTATTAAGAAACTCTGCTTCTAGCATTTGGACCTAACTAGGTTTGGGTATTGTAAGTTTGACCTGACTGGTTTTACTATACTTCATTAAGGTCCTTTATAATTTTTCATAATATTGTCACCATGTCAGACGACAAAAGTCAATCTATAAATTGCAAACTTACTAGAGCCAATTATGCGTATTGGTCCACTATTATGAAATTTTTTTTGCTTAGTCGAAAAAATGGGGATATGTTTCTAGTTCTATCTCTCATCTGTCAGATCCCAAAACGGATGGATATCAGGTTTCATGTGACACTTGGGATTGTGATATTGCCCAAGTTCTGACTTGGTTTCATAATATTGTGGATGATCACATTGGGATCATAATCTCCAAATATACTACTGCCAAGGAGGTTTGAGACTATTTACAGCGGGTTTATCAACAATCCAACTTTGCCAAATGGTATGAGTTGGAAATAGCTATTCAGAATGCTCGTCAGCAAGATCGGTCTATTCAGGATTTTTATATTGAGATGATGGGACTTTGGGATCAGCTTGCTCTCATGGAACCATTTAGTCTTAAGGTACTAGATGCCTATCTGCAGTTTCGAGAAGAGGGTCGTTTGGTGCAATTTTTAACGACTCTCTCCCCTCAGTATGAGGCTATCCATGGTGGCATCCTTCACCGGTCGCCTCTTCCCTCTTTGGATGCTATTGTTCGTGAGCTCCGAGGAAACCCATCTTAAGACGGCCAGTCAGACTCTGTCTCCATCTGTCTTCTTGGCTCCTACTCAGCCTCCTCAGTTGTCGGCCCCTCCCACCTCATCAGCTTCAGGGCAATGCGAAGCCCAAGAAGAGGCCACTAGCCTCTAATGAGTGTCCTTTTGCCATCAGGATGGCCGTTAGAAGTACAATTGTCCCAAGAAGGGACGTCAGTCTGCTCAATCTTCTCAGTTGCCTTAGCCACAGTTTTGACCTCCTGCTGCTTATACTGCATTTGCTCTAGCTTCTGATCCTGGCTTGGCTTCCTTGTATGCCCAGATGGCTCAGCTTCAACATCTCCTGTCCACCTCCCAACCATCCTCATCTGCCTCTGCTCTCACCTTTCTTTATTCAGGATCAGGTGTCCAAAAAGCAGATTGGGACCGACCGTAGAGTTGGAGATCTCTATGTAGTAGAAAGCTTGCATCTCCCTCTATCCACATCTCCAGTTGTTTTTTCCTCATTTCAGTTAGATTCTCAGTCGAGTCAATTTTACTTATAGCATTCTCTCCTAGGTCATTTATCTGTTGACCGCTTACGGTCTTTAGCTCGGTCAGGATTATTGGGTAAAGTTTCTCTTAGTTAAATTGATGAATATCGAGGGTAAACTTGCCAAAATGTCAGCTTTACCTTTTAATAAAAATACTTCAATCTCTATTTCTCCATTTTCTCTTGTGCATACTGATGTCTGGGAACCCTCTCCTGTTCTCACTAAAGGGGGTTCCGCATACTATGTGTCTTTTGTTAATGATTGCACCCGTTATACTTAGCTTTATCTTATGACTCATAAATCTGACTTCTACCAAATATATCGTACATTTCAGTCTATGATCACTACACAATTTGCGGCTACCATTAAATTGTTACGATCTAACCTCGGTAGAGAATATTTTAAAACTGAGTTCTGTGAGTATTTGGCCAATTTGGGTACCATTCACCAAACTTCTTGTACTGATGCACCTGCCCAAAATGGTCAAGCCAAGCGTAAACACTGTCATGTCCTTGAGACAGCTAGGTCTCTTCTTCTCTCTACCTCAGTTCCAGCTTCGTTTTGGGGAGAGGCAGTTCTTACTGCTGTTTTTCTTCTCAACCGCATGCCTACTCCTCTTCTTTCTATTCGGTCTCCTTATGAGGCTCTGTTCTCTCAACTTCCCAATTACTCTCTCCTTCATGTGTTTTGGTCTGCTTGTTTTATCCTTCTTCCCCGTAAAGATCGGACCAAACTTAGTGTCCGATCTGTCCTATGTGTCTTTTTGGGTTATAGTCTTACTCAGAAAGGATATTGGTGTTACCTATTTCCTGTCATCTTTACATCTCCCGTCACGTTTCTTTTCTCGAACGCTTGCCTTACTTCCAGCTTCCTCCTATCACTGCTCCAATTTCCAAAGAGGATTTGATTCACATTGATCCATTTCCTTTTGAGGTCCCTCCTAATGAGTACATGTCTATTGTTCTCCCTGACCTTCCTCCCTTTTCTCCTCCTCCCCCACCTGTTCCTTCTCCTCCTCCTCTTCCTCCTCCTCCTCCTCCGTTGTTAGTTTATTCTAGCCACCAAGCTCTCCCTCCACCAGTTGTCTCTGCTTCTACTGTTGATCCTCCTGCTTCTGACGATTCTGATCTTACTGCACATCGATATCCTACTCGAGCGCGTCATCCTCCAAACAGGTTGGGTTGGTCTAATACATATTTTTCTGCTTCCTATCGTACTTTTTTGTCTGCGATTCATTCTTTTTCAAAACCTCAGTCTTACAAGGAGGCCTGTCAGGATCCCCATTGGATTCAAGTTATAGAGGACGAATTGTCTGCTTTACAGAAAACTAATACTTGGGAGTTGGTTCCTTTGTCTGCTAGTAAGAAGCTGGTTGGTTACAAATGGGTCTACAAAGTCCAGACTCATTCTGATGGTTCTTTTGAGCGCTACAAAGCTCGTCTAGTTACCAAAGGTTTCTCACAGGAATATGATATTGATTATGAGGAGACCTTTGCTCATGTTGGCAAGATGACTACTGTCCGTACTTTGATCTCTATCGCTGCTGTTTGTTCTTGGCCCATTTATCAGATGGATGTTAAGAACCATTTTCTTAATGGCCATCTCACAAAGGAGGTTTACATGTGTCCTCCCCCTGGCCCTCACCATTCCTCTGGACAGGTTTGTCAACTTCAACGTGCTCTATATGGTCTAAAGCAGTCTTCTCGTGCTTGGTATGATCGCTTTCAGACTGTTGTTACTGCACTTGGGTTTCATCCTTCTACTCAGGACTCTACTTTATTTCTTCTCTACACCTCTGCTAGATTTGTTGCCTTAATACTGTATGTGGATGATATGATCATCACTGGCTCCGACTCTTCTACTATCTCTGAGGTCAAGCAATATCTTTTTCGCACCTTTGAAATGAAGGATTTGGGCCCCTTACGGTATCTTCTTGGTATTAAGATAGCTTCTTCTCCCAAAGGCTACTTTCTATCTCAGGCCAAGTATGCCAGTGAGGTTATTCATCGTGCTGGTCTTACTAACACTAAGTTTTCTGAAACCCCCATTGAGCTGAATGTGAAGCTCACCACTACTGATGGTGTTCTTCTAGATGATCCTACTTTATATCGAGAGCTTGTGGGTTGCTTAGTTTATCTGACAGTCACTCGCCCTGATCTTGCCTATGTTGTTCATGTGATTAGTCAATTCGTTTCTGCTCCTCATTCTACCCATTGGACTGCTTTGGTTCAGATTTTTCGCTATCTCCAGGATACTATATTTTAAGATTTACTGTTGTCTTCTACTTCCTCTTTGGACACAGTGGTTTATGCTAATTCTGATTGGGCTGGTGATGTCACTGATCGCAAGTCCACTTTTGGCTTCCGCATGTTTCTTGGTGATTCTTTGATTTCTTGGAAGAGCAAGAAACAGACTGTTGTTACGCGATCCACTGCCGAGGCTGAGTACCATGCCATGACCCATGCCACTGCTACGATTGTTTGGCTTCGTTGTCTCTTGACTAATTTGGGTGTCCCTCAGTCTTCTCCGACCTCCCTTTACTGTGACAACCGCAGTGTTATTCAGATTGCACATAACACTGTCTTTAATGAGCGGACGAAACACATTGAGATTGATTGTCATTTTGTACGTCAGCATCTGCAGTCTAGCTCCATCTCACTTCCTTTCGTCTCTTCGGCGTTGAAACTTGTTGATTTCTTTACGAAAACTCACAACACTGCTCGCTTTCAGTTTCTTCTAGACAAACTCTCAATGTTTTCTACTAAAACACCATGAGTTTGAGTGGGGATGTGAGAATATTATGTTACTTACATCAATTAGGTTGATTGTATATTTTAGATTGATTGTGTGAATATTAGATTGATTGTATAGGGTTATTATTTCCTATTTCAGATTAGGGTTAGGATTTCTATAAATATTGGTTGTAATCTTTGTATTAGAACAAGTTGAATATATAGAAATATTCAGAAACTTACACAAACATCCACAAATCTCCAAATATTTTGTAGCTTTTTTCTTCTTGGATGGTATATTAGGAAGAAGTGCCCCTCCCCTAAAGGTCAATTGAAGTCTCCTACTCCTATTGGCCATGAAAGACATGCTACCCAAATATCTTAATAAAATTTTTAAACCATTGAAATTTTATTATTGCCATGATGATCACGCTCCAAAAGTTACTTACCAATTCATTTGTTATCACTGCATTGGTAATATATATGAGTGACAGAGTAGAATTTTGTAATAAGGCAGTACGGATGAATATTGATAAATAAAAGAGACGGAAAAGATAAAAAAAAATAACACAGAGGTTTAACACACAAAGCCCTATGGGCTACAGCCTTCATTCACTCAACTTGATACTCTTGTGTACATAATACACCATATGTATAGAGTGAGAGATACAATCAAAATCCCTTCAGTTAAGGAATTCAAATAAATCAAACATACAAAAAATCATGATAAGCACAAATTATGGGATCTCCATATATTCTATTATCTTCCTTATCTTCTGATATCTTTGACAATATAATCTTATCCCCAATACTCCCCCTCAAGTTGGAACACGGAATAATTGAAATGTCCAACTTAAACTTGTAAATAAAATGATCATTACAAACAACCAAAATGAAGTTGCCGAAAGACAACAACAATTGTAATAACTCCCTTCAATGAATATAGGCAAGAAATCAACATCTTGCAATAGAAAAACGTGCATTGAATGAATCATGATGACAGTAAGAGAAACCAACCAAGAGAGAGAAAGCAACAAGGTCGAAGCAACGGCAAATCACCACAAACAGTAAGGCCAAAAAAACGGCGTCCCACAAAGAATGCTACTAAACACACCGATAGCCCAAAAACAAAAAAGAACCAAATATGTGCTTACCACATCAGCACAGGGAACCAAAAAGGGTAAAGTGGTAGCCGAAAAACTCATCGTATCATAGAATAATGCTACCAATCACACCAGCAGTCCCGAAACAAGTAAAAATCACAAAGTTTGCATACCACATCAGCAAACTAGTGGTCAACATAAGGAAAAGAGAAAAACACCTTGACAACAACAACAACAACAACAACAACAACAACAACAAAAAATTGTAGAGTGAGAAAACACTCCATAGAGAAACATGCCCACGGTTTGGTAGGCTTTGATATCAAGTTGAATTTTGTAATAAGGCAATAAGGTTGAATATGGAAAGATAATAGAAACATAAAAGATAAAAGAAAGAACATAAAGGTTTAACATGGTGCAGCCAATATTGGCCTACATCCACACACACAAAGCCCTATGGACTACATCTTTTATTCACTCCACTTGATACTCTTATATACATGATACACCATATATCTAGAGTGGGAAATACAAACAAATCCCTTCAGTTAACAACTAAAATAAATCAAAAATACAAAAAAAATCATAATAAGCACAAATTATGGGATGCCCATATATTCTAATATGTTCCATATCTTCTGATATATTTGACAATATAATCTTATCTCAAACAAATAGGGCAGCTTTGGTACATTAAACCAATACAACAGTGACAAATGAGATAATAAATAATTTTTGGTATATAAATGTGGTCCTTTAATGTTGAAATTTACTCTCAACCTACTCCTATCATAGCATTGGTAACATATATGAAATGATATCAATGCTTGCATATGTTGTATAAGTTTCTGTAAAAAACCACAACGAATGTGATCAATTTTCATGCTTGTTATGTACAGTATGGAAAAAGTACCATTATAATCCTTTTTATTTGTGAAACTAATGATATCTTACAATTTTTATGTTTATAGAAGCGTATAACTTATATACGATGTCTTGCTATGAATGAAATAATTAGAACAATCTGAAATAAATTATATTTCATGCATCTCTCTCTCTCTCTCTCTCTCACACACACACACACACACAAACACGAAAAATGCTCAAAGAAACATTCCTTGGTTTATGCAAGGGTTTTATTTAACATGAAGGTTCCATGAATCTTTCCATTTTATATTTTACATCTATGGCTTTTATGTAAGTTAGAATAAGTGCTCAGCTGGAGGTAGGAGAGGATTTAGGAGGAGCTGTTACGGACCATGGCTACCCCTTAAACTGGAACTTCCTCTTATAAGTTACATTACAATTACATGTTTGATATCACTGATTATTGTGTCCTTTCTCAAATGGAAATTTTAGTCCGTAAACTTTAGTATTTGATTTTTTTCTTAATCAAATTCATGAATCAAAATCTTTCACTGAAATTTCAAAACTAACTTTAGTCTCTCTTACATTATTTCATGGTTATTGTGCATACAGATATTTAATATTAATAGTGTATATATATGTATGCAGAAATATGCATTTAAGGGGAAGGCAAGGTGCTAATTTCAACTACATATAATTTAACTTGTGAGATTGGATTTTTCCATGCAGTATTATACTATTGCCCAATTATTTTAGGAGGTATGCATTCTTTTTTTTGTGTGTGCGCGAGCACACAGATACTTGATAGGTCTATATTGCATCCTCCAATCGTCCCAAAAATGAGAAGCCAGAGTAATTACTCAATCTGCCCTGGCCAGTGTAATTGCATGTGTATATTAGAAGCCAAGCTTTACATAATATTCAGTTTGAATCACTAGAATAAGGCCATGACAACTATCAAAATTTTATAGGGAATCATAAAAGGGGAAAGGTAATACTATATACAGGTTTTCCATATTGAAAGGAAAGAGAAGCATCTTATTGCATACGTGATGATAAATATAGCATAGGCATTCTGGCATAAATCTCAAGTTTGCAGCTTCCCCCCATATGAGAAGATATAGCGCCATGTACAGTAATTTCCGTTGCTGCACTTCCTGTTGAATAGTTGGCAACCTGCAAATGAAGAATAACCACAACTTACAACACTTACAAATTAAGAAAGTTATAAATGAATCTAAGCATCAATCTCTAATTAACCAAAAAGAAAAAAAGATATGTATGGAATACGGAGGAAGAAAACTGACACTCATGAGAGGAATAAAATCATTCCACTAAGCCAAAAAAATTATACAACAATAAAAAAGAATAATAAAATCTTTACTCACCAAAGACTACTTTTGCGACGCAAAAACTTGCACCATTTTTTGTAGTTTTTGAAAAGTTTCTTCATAACTTCTGTAAGTGCACGGTCATCCAACTAAACAGGTATATGTTATGAATAATGGTGTCACTTTAAAAGTAAAAAATTTACAAGCCAACACAATTTGTGACATAATACCCTAGGTTGCTGATCAGGCTTTGGAGATTTTCGAATGTGCACATTCGCCAGCAACAAAATTAAGTGCTCCCTTTGATTTGCTACATTATCCTTCTGCACACATCAATAGTAAACAGAATATATCCCCTCACGAATTAAATGAAAAGAAGTCATCGAAAGAATCAATTCAGTCACCTGAAATCCAAACATAGCTTGAAGCCAGTCTAGAATGTCTTCATCTACTTTCTTCTTGTGCCCCTTGGGCCATGGCAGACCCCTGTTGTTTCGAAGAGCAGAAACAGAAGCTTGAATCTGAAAATTAAACAGTGAAGGTATTAAGAAGGTATTAAGAAGGTACTAGAAATATATATAATTGAAAAAATCAAGAAAGCTGCACATGAAATTCATAAACCAACCTCAGGGTATTTCATAATCGCTTGATTTGAGCTGTCAGGATCAAGAGGCAGTATATTATAAGGCACATATATCTCTGTCTTTTCTGCAACTTTTTTCTGAGTTTGCAAAACCTACAAATACATGCAAGTCCATACACTAAATATGCAAGAAAACTACTACAAGCACAACAAAGTTCTAAATAGATACAAGTTTGTCTTAGCATAGACAAAACTGATATAACAATTTCCTTAAATAAATGACAGTATTAAAAAAATCACCAATCAAAAAAAATTCGGTTACACCTCATCCGCCAATTCAACAGATTCTGTCAGATTAACAGCCTTCAAAACGTCAAACAGAACAGCAGCAGTTTGATATGCTTTTGTAAGCCGAGCACTGAATTAGGGAAAAAAACAAACACTTCCTATCAAATAAAGCATAATGCAGGAAGGCCACATCTCCAAGCAGATAATCAGAGGATGCCCTTTGACAATTTACCGATCTGCTTTATCAGCGGCATTCTGCAAAGCCTGGATATATTTGTTGTAGTAATGCTGATAAAAACTCTGCATTTCACGAGCATCACTTTTTGTCCTTCCCGCTAATGTTGTTTCATTTTCCTGAAAAGAAAGGAATGGTTCAATAATATTTACTGTGCACCTTTAAATGGAGATCCTTGAGGAGAAAGGCAAAAGTGTGTGGCAATACAGTGAGTGCATGTTTGTTTGCAGGATAAAATGCAGGATAATAGGTTGAAAAACATCTAGGCCCCACCTGAAAGTTAATCCCACTTTTGATTGCAGGATGAGGAAGGAAGGATCACCTGGGCCCACATGTTTTCAGTCCAACATTTGTTTAGCACGGTATAGAAACTCCGGATAATTTTAATACTTGTATGAGGGATTAAATGGGGGAAAATAGGGATTAAGTAATACCAAGGGGATTAAGTAATGCCATAGGAATTGTGCCATCCAATGGCAAAAAATAATTATATCTTTTTATCACATCCTAACCAAACATAATACCCTAATTCCTCTATCCAATCATTTATCCCATGGTATAGTTTATCCCCATAATACTATCCATAAACCTATCATATATCCAATACTACATCACATCTAATCCAATAACATTACTCATTCCCCACAATCCTATCAATAATCCCATTTATATCCAATCCCATCAAAAATAATATATCAATCAAATGTTCAAGTGATGTACTTGTACCTATAACCATATAAATATGTCACAGCAATCATACAAGTAATAAAATTATTTTGTGTTGAGAATAGAAGTACAATCTCATACGTGGGCATGTACTTGAGTACACATGGGTAAAACTATATTCCTTCTAAAAAGTGACAGCCTTTTGTCCTTTTAACAACACCATTTCCAGCACCTTTAATCAAATGCCATTGACCCTGCTAAACTTATTAGCATGTAAGCTTGTTAGCCTCACTGAGCCAAGGGAAAAATTACACAAACTTTGTTTGTTTCTTTATCAACCTGAAAATTTACACTTGAACTATGCCTTTTTTCTTAACAAATAAGCTCAGGCTAGCTATTGAAGAAGCCAAACCCAAACAACTCACAAGCTGCTCAGCTCATTTAACATCCCTGTAGATAAAGTCTTTTTTCAGTCTTATCAAAGGAAATAGAAAATATCAACGTTGAAATGATGACAAATTATTATATCAACCAAAACCACTGAGATAAGAATGCAGAGAGACCATACTGAAGAGGTATAGAGACAATCACAAAGATAAGATATTAGTAAACATACACAGAAAAAAAATGTCATTGTTTTCTACTATGCGTTTCCCATATGTTTATTAAAATATTCAAAAAAAGAATATTTTCTTTTTCCAACCATCTAAATTTAGGTGTCCAGAGATATGTTTGTCAAAAATATGTAAAGTTAAAACTTAGCTCTCAAGTATAATAAGCAATTTATTTATCTCAACATTCTTAAAGATTATATCGTCAAGAAAAAAGAACTATGTGGTAAGCACATCAATTGTATTTTAACCACTTATTCACATACCCTTTCTAAGCGTTGAAGAAGGGCAGTTTTGAATTGGCGAACTCCACGCCCACTTGATGTTGGATCTAGTCTGTGAGCTTTTTCAAAGGCATAGAACCGACCTGATCCCAGTAAAGGCATCAATATCCATAAGAGTTCAGATTGAATTTAAGTTCAAAAAGACCATTGCATTTTTTCAGGAACAACAACTGAGCAGAATAATATCACTCTAACATGATATACTATTAAATTCAATGTGCATGGGAGAGAAGAAAATAATCAAGCTTCGCAGGAACAAAGACAAAAACCATATATCATATTAAAATAGGGAAACTAAGCAAACGGTGAATGAGTAAAAAGGACTGCAAACAAAGAAAGAAAAGATAGTCTTAAACGTTGCCCTCATTTGAAAATTGAACCTAATGGAGATTGGTTAACAAAATAACAACCATGTTTGCATTGTCTTGTTGGATGTTTCAATCATTGGAAGTTCTGACCGGTTTACATTTATTTTTGAGAATTGAAAGTCATTAAGAAATTATAGAAACAGAATAAAATGCTGCAATTGGCATACTAAATTATATAAAAACTAAAAGACTATATTTTTCCCATTGCATGCATTGCCTGTAGAATATTATTGATTATTAACAATACAGTTGTTTCTGCATAAAAGCAAAAGAAAAAAAAATCAAGATAAAAATTGTATCTGAGATTGACTATGTCACAAAAGAGATTAGTGGATTAACCATACCTTCAATTGAAAAAGAACATGTTAGCAAAACTTACAAAGATTTAATTAGTAGTTTTATCTCAAAAAAAAAAAAAAAAAAAAAAAAAAAAAAAACAAAAAACCTTTAATTAAATTGTTGCTTTAGGCCTCAGATTATCTCGAGTCAGCCCTAAACCATCTATGTTTAATATCATCATCTTTTTTTCCCTGACTAGAAAGAAAATGTAAATTGAAGTGAAATCCACATTTTGACACAAGCAAAACTGAATTGTGTATGCGTGCATACACACATTTTATGTTGAAGATATAAATAATAAAGTTGTTCCTCATATATTTCAATCATTGGAAGTCCTAATATTAACGGTTTAAATTTATTTTCAGAAATGAAATAGGGAAATTATAGAAACAAAATAAAGTGCTCCGATTGACAGACTAAATTATATAAAAACCAAAAATATTATATTTTTTTCCAATTACATGCGTTGTCTATAGAATATTATTGATGAAACCCATTGATCCTGCATAAAAGAAAAAAATTCAAAATTATACCTTAGATTGACTATGTCACAAAAGAGATTAACTGGATTAACCATGCTATAAATTAAAAAATAATATGTTAGCAAAACTTGAATAGAAAGATTTATTTAGTAATTTTCATCTCAAAAAGAAAGGAAAAAAATTAATTTTTAAATAAAATATTTTTAAAAAATATTGAACTTTGTAAAAAGTCTTAATTAAAATTGTCACATTAGGCCTTAAAATTAACTCAAGTCAGTTCTAAACAATCTATGTTTTAATATCATCATCCTTTTTATCATGACTGGTAAAATATTTTTATATATATATTTTTTTATTAATGGAAACATAAAAGAAGGAAAATGTAAATTGAAGCGAAATCCGCATTTTATATTGAAGATATAAATAATAAGATTGTCCATTTCTCTAATAGTTTTTAGATGTGGTAATGATGAACAATTTAATATGGTAATAGTTCATGTAGTCAAATTCCACTGTCTACCCAATAATTACGATACTAGCATATCTTTAACCCCTTTAAGAAAAAAGAGTTTGGCTTGTGTTTGAATATATAAATAACGGTGAATTATAGCCATAGTCCCTCAAGTTTGACACCTATTTCATTTTAGTCTCTATTCTTCAAATTGTGCCAATTAAGTCCATTAAGATTCAATTCCAAATCAATTTAGTTCTTGAAGGAAATACACAAATAAACTATAAACCCAGAAGTTCTATTAATTACTATAAGGCTCTATTTCCCTATTAATATAATTATAAAATCCATGTAAAATTGTTTAAGTTTAGAATTGGTGTCAGATTCTGGTTTCTCAGCCTTGCCAATATAAATACATGAGTATTAAATATACTAAAAAAATCAAATTAGATAATTTAAATAATAACACTTCACTACAAATGATTAAAAAAAAAAATAACGCCCAATTAGTACACATTAATATGTGTTTGGAAGGAAAAAGATTAGCTACACACCTAACCTCTAACCTTTAGTATAGTGCACAAATGATAATTGAACAAAATGATACTATAATCAGGTTATTAAAAGAACTTAATGAAAATATTAAAGAAAAACAATTAGAAATTATACACGAAGTTCGAAACATCTACTATTAGATAAATGTAAGAAATTAAGTATTGTAGAAAATAAGTGAAAAAACACTACAAATAATTGTTATCCTTACATTTACCTTTTGAATTACTACCACTAGAAAAATGAAAAAAAAAATATTAATAATAAAAAAAAGGTGTGCGTGATAAAATAAAATAAAAAGGTATTTTTATAATATAACAAAACTTAAGACGCAAGAATATAATAACTAAAATCTTAAGGTCCATATTGTAAAGCAAAAAGACCAAAGTGGAACAAGATAGAAAGGATCAGAATCAAACTGACGAAATTCAAAGTACAAGGGCGAAACTAAAACTATGAGGAAAATTAGCCCTGTAAATAATAAAGTTATCAGTCTCCCAAAATGCTTAACCTTTTAAATGAGTTAACAGTTAACAATTTAACATTACTAATAGATATGTGAAACTATACATAATGATTTTAAAAAATGCATATAGACCCTCTAGGTGAAAAATAAGACACTCACTTTGTGTCAAAAAAATGTGAAAATATGATTTTAAAAAAATTGATTATATGTAACCTCTTTTTTAGTAGATAGAATTTAAAAGTAACATAAAGTCGGTTTGTTCAGTGTAATTTTAATCAAAAGCAAAAGTTATTAAAAAAATTAAAAAGCTAATATAAAATGTCAAAAAAAAAAATTTCTCATACTTTTACATATTCTTTCGTAAAAAATTAAAATTTCATTCTAAACATATTAATTTTTTACGTCATATTCTAGTCAAAAAGCTAAAAAAAAATTACCAAAAAACCTGTTCCCAAACTACGTCTTAAGGGCATATTTGATTAGGTATATTAATTTTTTACGTCATATTCTAGTCAAAAAGCTAAAAAAAAATTACCAAAAAACCTGTTCCCAAACTACGTCTTAAGGGCATATTTGATTAGGTGAATTAGAATATAAGATTGGGATTATTAATCCGTCAGTCTAATTATCCTATATTTGTTTTAATATTTTGGTTTAGGATTATTGATCCAATGGATAATTAATCCAATAAATTTGTAGAATTATTACTAATGAAATAGATGTGAGATTATTAATCCAATCGATATTAATCCAATTAAATAATAAATATCACACTAATTTAATATTACTAATCTTGTCAATCAAACATGTCCTACGAGTGTGGAATTGGTACTTACAAAGATAGGCCACCCTGGGGTTGCTGGGCTCAACTTCATTAGCGACCCGTAGAATCGGAGCAATCTCGACCAGTGATGATGGAACTACCTCACTATCCATCATTGTCTCCCCTAAATTCCCCGTGGTCTGAGTCCGCAAAATCCGCCTCTGCGGTTGCGGATCAGACCCCTTTCTATTGTAAGCCATTTATTCTTCAAATCCCTTTTCCTTTTACAATAACTTAAATTTCACTTCCTCTAATTAAGCCTGCAAAACCAATCAAAATTACAAAATACACTTATCATTATCAACAAACACCTCTATTTTCTACTCAAACCAAAAATACTCTGTTTGGTTCTTGAGAAAACCGACAAGTTAAAACAGAAATAGAGACTTTCCAATAAAAAAACAACTTTTCCTTTCATTTCCTTTTTTTTTTTTCTCAGCAACCAAACAGAGCAACCTAGAAGAAAATTCATAAGCAAGTATAGGAAGATTAAGATTACGGTGGCTTTTACATCGAAACAGAACTCGATTCAAATTGTGTATTGGCAAAGAGAAAGGCATCGAAATACAACAGACCAGAGATGAGTTGCATGTGTGTAGTGACTGAGAAGAAGACTTCAGAGTCTAGAGAGAGAGAGAGAGAGAGAGAAGGGGCAGGTGTTGCCGTGCGAAGTACCCAAGTGACATGACACGAAGGAAGCAACGCGGGTAAAACAGCTGGAGAAGTTATTTAGTGGTACAGGAACATTGCTCCACACCACACGAAATGGAGAATTACATAATGCCCCTGTTTTGGAAACATAATTACACGGTGTACCTAAAGTTTTACTATTATTAAGGATTAATTTGCACTTTTCACCTTTCATTCAAATTTCATTTTAATTTAGTTTCTATAATTTCAATTTGATCCTCCTATTTAAATTAAAGTTAAAATTAATAATTTTAAGAAACTTGTCAATTATGTAAATATGACATGTAGTCTTGTGTTATTTTTGACAACCAAACAAATTTATATAGAATCCACTAAATTGCTAATCAAATTTCACCACTTATGAAACTAAACAAACATATTCTTGATGTGTTACCAATACAATATATTGATATTGGTTGTATTTGATTTATAGATTTACGCTATGTTTCGTTGGGGGATTTGAGAAAAGATTTGGAAAGTGAAAGAAAAAAATTAGGTGAAATGTGAATAAAATATACTTACATTTAACCTAGTTTCACACACATTTTCCATTTTTCTTTTCAAATTTCTTCCCAAATCCCTCAACTAAACACAACATTAAAGAGTGATTTGGCAAGGGAAAGGGAAATGATAAATAAAATGTGAATGTGATATAATTACATTTCACCTACATTTCACACATATATATTTTTTTTTCTTTCTAAATTCATGAACCAAACATTTTATAAGAAATAAAAAGTGAGAAATGAGATCCATTACATCAACGTATTTGATAATATATCACATGATATCTAAAATTTGATAAACTAAATTTAGGGTAGTAGCATTTCTTATAATTATTTGAGAAAATTGCAAATTAATGGGACGGTGAAAAAGCATTTCTATTTTCAGGATAGAGTATAAGTGTCATGTGTGCAAGATGCAAGTCCTTGTTTGTCAAAATTGTACCAAAAAATATCTATTTTACTTATTTGCAATTCCCATAATTATTTTGCTAATAAAAAGTGGTCAACGAATAGGTATACTTGATCTCTTAAATTTAAGGTGAAAGCTTAAAGTCTCCTTATTTTTATTTTTCAATCAAAGTTGAAAATAAATAAATAACAAAAACTAACTTTTCATTATATTACAAAACACCAATCTAGTTAAGAAAATTACATAAAGAAGAGGGAGGATGAAGTGATGAATAAGGATATCCTCTCTAGAGTGATTTTTTCTGAAGTAATTTAGAGTGAATTTTTTTTTTTTTTTTGTAGGATTATTGTACCCTTAACTTTTGACTATTACACTTTTAATTTTTATAATATTAAGTGGTATTTGGGATAATCTAAAAATAAGTATACTTTTTGACTTTTTATAAAAAATATATATAGAAAAGTAGAGAGATGATATGATCCAAAAAAGATAAAAAGATAAAAAAAAATTGTACACTTTCGTAGTGCACCCCAAACACTCTCTAAATCTCAATTATCTAAAAAAATTATTTTAAAATCACTTTTAAAAAATTCTTTTAAAGGATCCTTACTCTGAAGGAAGAAGGGAGTACTAAAGAATGGGTAGAATAGTTGAAGTGAAGTAGATGTTGTGAGTAGGGGTGTGCGCGGTGCCGGTCGGTGCGGTTTGAGAGAAAAATAAAAACCGTATGGCGGGTGGCGGATTGATAAAAGTGTCACTAGAATTTGTCATTTTCCTTATCAAAAACTGGCAGTTCGGTTGGCAAATAATGACGGATTTGCCTTGGCGGTTCAGGCGGATTGACGGTTTATAAAAAATATAATTCAAATTACAAAACTTAAATCAAAGAGTAAAAAAAAGACGAGAGATACCGTGATGTTAAGCATCTTGCGATGCCTTCTTCTGATGCAGCAAGTATAGCAACATGATAATATCAACGACTATGTCATTAGTTCATTACAAGTATCTGTGGAAGCTACAATGATCAAATACAATACTTAAAAATTCCCATCGAGCAGTAATGTAATACAATATTCTAAGGTATAGAACAACAAGTAAACTTAAGTAAAAAAGAATTTTTAGAATCTTATAAAACATAATTTAATAGCGGTGCAGGTCGATGCGGTTTAGAAGAAAAATAAAAACTGGCGGATTGATAAAAGTGTCACTAGAATTTGTTACTTTTCTTACCAAAAATCGACAATTTAATTGACAAATAATAACGAATTTACCTTAATGATGTGATTCGGTGTGATTTTGACAATTTCAATGGTATTATACACACCCTTAGTTGTGAGTGAATGAGCCAATAGTCTCTATCTCAAAGGGGTAGAGCCAAATTTAAAGCTTGAAAATGCATGAGTGGTTGGAAAAAAAGGCCAGGCGGCCATGAAGGTGAGCTTGATGTGAACCAAAGACCTTTCATGAGTCAAACTAATGAGCTAACAATTTTGATGATTTGTACCTGACCAATAGGTTAGGATATATAACTCCAATTGTACTAATACATACTAGGGTATATAACTCCAATTGTACTAATACATACTATTCAAAAAAAATTGTACTAATATATGTCCATGGGGGGAGACACTAAGGCTAGGTTTGATATAACATTTTGGAATTATTTTAGTCATAAAAGATAAAATAGATTAAAAAATTAATAAAATAAAATGTCACATCCAAATCATAATTATTTCTTTTTTTTTTTGCAAAAGTCAAAAAATTTAAAAAGTCTATCCCAAATGAGACTTTTTAACCCTAAATTAAAATAAGCAAAAAGTTAACTCATGTCTCAAACGAAGACTAAGACCTCGTTTGGCGAGTGATTTTTTTAGTCAAAAAGTCACTAAAAAAATCAAAAAAATAACAATCCATACAAAAAAGTCAAAGATTTCCTTTTCTCTCTACTTTTTGCACATCTTTTCGTAAAAAATTAAAAAGTCATTCCAAACATATTAATTTTTTTTACATCACATTTTAGTCAAAAAGTTACTAAAAAAACATATTCCCAAACGAGGCCTAAGGCTCATTTTAGTTTAGTTTTAGAATCAGAATTTGAGTGTGGAGTTGTGTTTTGAAAATATAATTTTTTAAATGAGCTTTGGAAAGAGAAAACTTGTTTGATTATGAATTTTGAAAAAAGTTTTGAAAGGAGTTTTGAAAAAAAAATTGAGTTTTGAATTGTATTTTAAATTTGTTTTGGGTTTTATTTTTTTAGAGTAAATATTTTTTCTTTTAAATATTTTTTTTAATGTACTTTGTATTTACTACATTTGCCCGCTATATTTTTTAAAATATTTAAAAATTTAAAATATATTATTTTTATTTTAAATATTTTCTTATTTGTTTATTTCAAATATTTTATTTTATTTTTTTAAATATTTTAAATAGTTTTTAAAAAAAATTTAAGTACTTAATTTTTTTTGAATTTTTTTTTAAATTTTAAAAATTTTGGCAACAATCATAAATATCAAAATTATTTAAACCAATTCAATAATAAAACAGGAACAATAAACTAAATATAATATAAAAATAGGTAAATTACAAATACACCCTCTGAGTTTTGATTAAAATACAAATCACCCCCTGTAATTCTGAAAATTACATTTCACTCTTGAGATTTCTAATTTCGTAACAAATTGCCTATTTTATTAATAAATCATCAAGTCAATTAACAGTTTTTAAAGATGTTATAAATATGTTTTAATTAATAATATAGGTAATTTTATTATTGTATATGACATCAATTATAAATTTTTTTTTTTAGTTAATTCTGTTAAACAATTTTTTTTAACAATAGTTTATTTGTAATTTATCCAATAAAAATATATTAAACATAACATTATTAATAAAAAAAAATTCTATCATCATAACATTACTCGTACACACATAAACAAATCTAAGTGTGAGTATCATATAACCAAGTCCGAACCAATTGTGTGGGAAAGCACCATTAAGGTTTGAGAATGTCAAATTTTTGTAATCATGGCCGTTATATAGTATTAAATATTTCACCCAATTTTTTGATTTGTATATTAAGCCTCCGTTTGGGAAATGGGTTGGCTTTTTAGGTTTTTGGCTTTTTTGGCTATTTTAGCCTGGGCTAAAAAACTTGGTTTGGGAAGGGCTTTTTGGCTTTTAGACTTTTTTGACTTTTTTTGTGAGAGAAGAGTGTAATGATTATGGGTTGGATGTGATGTTTTGTTTTTTGTGGCTAAAATAGCCTATTTTGTCTTTTGTAGCTAAAATAGCCAAAAAAACCCCAACCCAACTTGCCAAACGGAAGTAGGTGTTAGAGCATGTTGGAGCTGTAAAAAATAAAAATAATAGTTATTTTATGTAACAAGTCTCATTTGAAAAATTTGTTGCTGTTCTTATCCGTACGGATATACAAGAGACCTATAAGACCCAAAAATTGAATCAACCATCTTTTATTGTCTTAAAATCATGAACCTAATAATCGGTTTGGTTCCCAATTTAGACCTTATCTAAACAAAATTAACTCGAATTTATATACATATTATTAAAAAAATTATAAGTGTCTTCATATAATTGGTGGAAAGAAAATTAGACAGTGCTATGCTGTTGATTTCTTTTTTTCCCCCTCTCTTTTTAACTTTTCTATTTTATTGAATTTTGTTAATGGAACAATATTAATGACTTTTGTAATTTGTATTCGTAATATTAGAACAATATGAATGACTAATCATAGTCGTTGGCTTCTATTAAATTTGGAAGCAATTTTTTTTTTTTTTTTCTATGTCATTTTCTTTTCTTCTTATTTTTTTGGGTCAAATTTTATGCCATGTTAGAATGTTTTAATTTTATTTCTAGGGCAATCAAGTCAATCGATTTCTTAATATTTTGAACCCTTAGTCCCAAGCTCTAAGTTCTTTGGACCATAATGACATAATTTGTCTAAAAGGGCAACTATTTGTTGAATTCAACATTCAAATCAACATCTCTATCTATTTGTTGAAATTCACGAAACTAACATATCGCTCATTTAATAACTGATCTGTTAAATATACATA